AATGGGGTTGGACTGGATGGCCCAGGAGGGCTCTTCCAACTCTAGGATTCTATGATTCTTTATTATTATTATTATTATTATTATTATTATTATTATTATTATTATTATGTGGGTGAACTACAACTCCCACCATGCCAGGTTCTATGATTCTTCATCATTATGATTATTATGATGTGGGTGAGCTACAACTCCCACCATGCCAGGTCAACCCCCTGAAACTCCATCCATATTTAAAGTTTGTTATGTTGTGCAAGTTTGCTCACTGGTGGGGTTCGGTGTGCTCTTTGCCTATAGGGTAAACTACAACTCCCAACATGGTGAGTCAGTCCCCTCAAATCCCTCCAGTAGGTTGCGTTAGTCACTTTGGTTCTGTTTGCCAAATTTGGTCTGGGTCCATCATTGGTGAAGGTTACAATTTCTCTGGTTGTGGGTAAACTATAATTTCCACCAAGGTGAGTAAGTCCCCTCAAATCCCTACCATAGGTTGAGTTAGTCACGGGGGTTCTGTGTGCCAAATTTGGTCCGGGTCCATCATCGGTGAAGGTCACCATTTATCTGGTTGTGGGTGAACTACAACTCCCACCATGGTGAGTCAATCCCCTCAAACCCCTCCAGTAAGTTGATTTAGTCATGGGGGTTCTGGGTGCCAAATTTGGTCCAGGTCTATCATCAAGGAAGGTCACAATTTCTCTGGTTGTGGGTAAACTACAACTCCCACCAAGGTGAGTTAGTCCCCTCAAATCCCTCCAGTAAGTAGAGTTACTCATGTTGGTTCTGTTTGCCAAGTTTGGTCCAGGTCCATCATCAGTGAAGGTCACCATTTCTCTGGTTGTGGGTGAACTACAACTCCCATCAAGGTGAGTTAGTCCGCTCAAATCCCTCCAGTAGGTTGCGTTAGTCACGGGGGTTCTGTGTGCCAAGTTTGGTCCGGGTCCATCATTGGTGAAGGTTACAATTTCTCTGGTGGGTAAACTACAACTCCCACCAAGGTTAGTCCCCTCAAATCCCTCCAGTAAGTAGAGTTACTCATGTTGGTTCTGTTTGCCAAGTTTAGTCCTGGTCCATCATCGGTGAAGGTCACCATTTCTCTGGTTCTGAGTAAACTACAATTCCCACCAAGGTGACTTAATCCCCTCAAATCTCTCCTGTAGGTTGAGTTAGTCACGGGGGTTCTGTGTACCAAATTTGGTGTGGGTCCATCATCGGTGAAGGTCACAATTTCTCTGGTTGTGGGTGAACTACAACTCCCATCATGGTGAGTCAGTCCCCTCAAATCCCTCCAGTAGGTTGAGTTAGTCATGGTGGTTCAGTGTGCCAAGTTTGGTTGAGGTCCATCATTGATGGARGTCACAATTTCYCTGGTTGTGGGYAAACTATAATTCCCACCATGGTGAGTTAGTCCCCTCAAATCCCTCCCGTAGGTTGAGTTAGTCAYGGGTCCGGGTCCATCATTGATGGAGGTCACAATTTCTCTGGTTGTGGGTAAACTATAATTCCCATCATAGTGAGTAAGTCCCCTCAAATCCCTCCTCTAAGTGAAGGTACTGCGAGTCCCATCAAACTGCATCAGGACGTAGAGTGGGTCATGGGGTCCCATCATCCATGGTCTGCAATCCCTTGAACCACACCAGGTCATGGGGGCTCTTTCTGCCAAGTTTGGTCCTGATCTGTCATAATTTGGGGTCGCAGTGGTCTTAGGAAGTTAGTGAAGGTACTGCGAGTCCCATCATCCATGGTCCATCCTTCTCCAAACTGCATCAGGATGTAGAGTGGGTCATGAGTGCTCTGTGTGCCAAGTGTGGTCCTGGTCAGTGATTTGTCGGGGCCACAGTGTTCTGTGGGAAGCGAATCGGGTGAAGGTACTGCAAGTCCCATCGTCCGTGGTCCATTATGAAACAAAACATCTTATAAGGGTTGAATGAAAAGTAATGCCTCCACCTTCGCTACTTGGGTTTGGATGGGAATATTTTAATGAATCAAATGCAGAAATAATCCTTAGAATGTGCTCTTTAACTCCCACTWTTCRCTYTTCCACATAAYCACSAGACAATCGGATACTTTTCTGCCAATGATGAATGAAAAGTAATGCCTCCACCTTCATTACTTGGGCTTGGATGGGAATATTTACATAAATCAAACACAGAACTAACCCTTAGAATGTGCTCTTTAACAACCACTATTCACTTTTCCACATAACCACCAGACAATCGGATACTTTTCTGCCAATGATGAATGAAAAGTAATGCCTCCACCTTCGCTACTTGGGTTTGGATGGGAATATTTTAATGAATCAAATGCAGAAATAATCCTTAGAATGTGCTCTTTAACTCCCACTATTCGCTTTTCCACATAACCACCAGACAATCGGATACTTTTCTGCCAATGATGAATGAAAAGTAATGCCTCCACCTTCATTACTTGGGCTTGGATGGGAATATTTACATAAATCAAACACAGAACTAATCCTTAGAATGTGCTCTTTAACAACCACTATTCGCTTTTCCACATAACCACCAGACAATCGGATACTTTTCTGCCAATGATGAATGAAAAGTAATGCCTCCACCTTCATTACTTGGGCTTGGATGGGAATATTTACATAAATCAAACACAGAACTAATCCTTAGAATGTGCTCTTTAACAACCACTATTCGCTTTTCCACATAACCACCAGACAATCGGATACTTTTCTGCCAATGATGAATGAAAAGTAATGCCTCCACCTTCATTACTTGGGCTTGGATGGGAATATTTACATAAATCAAACACAGAACTAATCCTTAGAATGTGCTCTTTAACAACCACTATTCGCTTTTCCACATAACCACCAGACAATCGGATACTTTTCTGCCAATGATGAATGAAAAGTAATGCCTCCACCTTCATTACTTGGGCTTGGATGGGAATATTTACATAAATCAAACACAGAACTAATCCTTAGAATGTGCTCTTTAACAACCACTATTCGCTTTTCCACATAACCACCAGACAATCGGATACTTTTCTGCCAATGATGAATGAAAAGTAATGCCTCCACCTTCATTACTTGGGCTTGGATGGGAATATTTACATAAATCAAACACAGAACTAATCCTTAGAATGTGCTCTTTAACAACCACTATTCGCTTTTCCACATAACCACCAGACAATCGGATACTTTTCTGCCAATGATGAATGAAAAGTAATGCCTCCACCTTCATTACTTGGGCTTGGATGGGAATATTTACATAAATCAAACACAGAACTAATCCTTAGAATGTGCTCTTTAACAACCACTATTCGCTTTTCCACATAACCACCAGACAATCGGATACTTTTCTGCCAATGATGAATGAAAAGTAATGCCTCCACCTTCATTACTTGGGCTTGGATGGGAATATTTACATAAATCAAACACAGAACTAATCCTTAGAATGTGCTCTTTAACAACCACTATTCGCTTTTCCACATAACCACCAGACAATCGGATACTTTTCTGCCAATGATGAA